GAATTGTAATTTTCTGTTTGCAATTCTGTACATTTAATTAAGTTATTGTTAATTGTTATTGGTTTAATGTAAGTGGCTAGTGTTCGGGACGAACAATACTAAGGAAGGGGCAATGTTACGACAGCAGAGGTCACGTGACGCTTGTATCACGCCACTTCCTTCTCGAACCTTCATGAAATGTCGGGAGACTACTAAATTGGGGTAGTCTTGTATATATAAGACCGGCCAAGAAACAACGTGAGGTAATGAGTAATAGAACTGCGGACAGAGAGAGAGAATATTGTTGGGCACGTGAAACATTCGTTGTGAGTTATAGCGTTTGTTATAGCGCGAATGTTGAAATTAAGTGTATCGCAAAGTTGTATTCAGAAAGAATAAACCAGTTTTATTTAAGAAAGGACTTGTATCGGTAAAGTTTCTTCGGTAAGAATTTTTATGGAAAATTAATTAACGAACGGAGACGTAACACTTGTAAGGAAATGTTATACTTTTATTTCGCCTTAGTCAGAAATCGTACTTTGAAAAGAAGATTTCATCATTACGGCTACAACGATGAATAAACCCAAAGTAATCTAGATTCATCTAGCTTTACGAGAAGAAAACTGAATTTTATAGGCTATGCCATGTTTGTCAATAACGAGCAACAGTCCTCTGTTTTCCGAGATTTTTATACACCACTTCAAAGATAAACTGTTATTTGAAGTATCACACTACTGAGCAATGTTCCCTCAAATCAACTCAAATGTGTCACTTAACACTGTTTCCAGCAGATCTGTATAGTACTAAGAAGTGTTTCTAACAGAATTAAACTCCGTGTTGAATGTTTTTAAAATATTAAATAAGTTCCCTGAACAATGTATCACTCCCCACAATCGACTCTTTAAAACACTATTACATCCACTATACACTTAGTAACTTTTACATATTGTTATGTCTCCGTTCGTTAGTTGATTTTCCGTAACTTCGTTCCCAAGAAACTTTAGCGACACAAGTCCTTTCTTAATAAAACTAGTTTATTCTTTCTGAATATAACTTTACCGACACACTTATTTTCAACAGTCGCTCTATAACAAACGCTATAACAACGAACGTTAACTTCAACAATACTCTCTGACTGCAGTTCAATTACTCACTACCTACACATTGTCCCGTCACGCCGTGACCATCTTATATATACCAGCTCACCCCCAATCTAGCAAATGCTAGGGCACTTCCGAAGGAACAGGATATTTCTAGAAAACAGGTGGCGTGATGCTAGTCACGTGACCTTGCTGACGCAACAATATGAAAACCACACTCAGTGACAAGGAAGGATTGTCCTCAACATGTTTGTTTTCATAATAAAATTACTTGTTACTCATCGTTCAAATTGTACTATAAATGTAACATATAATATTATTTATTTAAAACATGACTCCAAGGCTAAAAGAGATAACATGTAGCTTCCTTTTTTTTCGTTTTTACTTTTAGGCTTAATTCTCGGTACGCTTTAAAACCCTTACTTAATGAAAGATAAAATAAACCGAACGCAGCAATGGAATTTAGACTTAGCTGAGATCCTTACAACAACAAAAGTAGTAGTAATAACAACGAATGCTCGGTAAAAAAAAATGTTGGTAAAAGATTAGAGTACTGTGAAAGTTATTTGCAAGCGTCATGTTTCATTTCATGTTAGAAACAAGGATATTTCAGTTCGCCTGGAAAATATAATTCATTATACTATAATGTAATTTTCTACCATTTGAAAGAAAATGAAATTACCAAAGTCCGGAAAAAATATAGATAAATAAAGCTGGCATGAAGGAAAGTGATCTCAACACTATCAAACGTTGTCGTTTGCAGCAAGATTTGATAATATAGCGCATTCAGCGGCAGTTAGGTTTTAAATCAATGTCTTATCACTTTTTCGACGATTTATAGCTTACGACTACATCACTATCTGTATCGTGACTAATAATGTATGTTTCTTTGGTTGCCACTACAGTAATCTCAACGTTATCTAGTTTTTGTTTAAATAAACCGGAAAATGTCTGATTCTTATCAAATCAAAGATGTATAGTCCTATTCAAGATTGTTTGTTTGTTTGTTTGTTTG